TTGTGTCTGCCCTGCTGTTGGCTCCTCTGTCCCTGTCTGTCCCCTGTGTCACGGGTGAGTAGTCTGTAAACTGGGAGCTGGACGTAGCTCTCAGAGCTAGTGAGTGGAGGAGCCCCGGTTCGACTCCCCGCGACCCATCACTCTTCATGCTTTGCCCACTTCCAGGGCTGTCCCACCCCCGCTGTCCCTGTCCTGGGCACGGCAGGACACGGCATGGCACCCACCTCATGGGTGGCCATGGGTGGCTAGGCCCAAGTTGGCAGCTGGAAGCATTCAGTGTCTGTTCTGTCAGAAGGGGTCACAAGAGAGGTGCCCCCCGCTGGTGCCCAGGCTCACGGGAGCAGAGCCTTGCCCATCAGCCTGGACCCACCCTGCCCTCGGCATGGGCCCAGGGAAGGTGACATTTTCCTGGCACAGAGGGCTGAGCTCCATCGGACTGTCCCACACCCCATGACCTCTTCCCAGGCGGTCGAGGGCAGAACCGCCCTCGAGGGTCGAGGGCCCAGTTTGAACCCTACCCTGGCTTCATCCCAGCCACGGGCAGAAGACAGTGGCAGCTCACAGCCAGGAGACCCGCGCCCATTCTCGTGGGCATGGGCTGGCCCGCCTCTGGCTAGCTTTGTGGCAGTTGTGATACACCGTGAGCGTGCGAATGCCAAGAATCATGCACTCACCCCGTTGGGGTGTGTCCTGTGACTCCTGGACCACGTTGAAGCGGGGTCAGTGGGTGGTGTGTGGTCAGTTTCACTGTAGGCAGGAGCCCAGGCTTAAAGGAAGCCCGTGGTTCTCTGTGGTAACCGCCCATCACTGCCAGCTAGGGGCTTTCAAAACCTAACACCCAGCTTCAACCCCCGTGTGAGCAAATGGCTGTCCCTGGGGTGAGGCCAAGGATTGGTTGTTTTTGAAGTCTGTAATGTGACTTCACTGAGCAGCTGCAATGAGGCCACTCCACTAGGCCTGGATTTCAGCACTGAGAGCCGCCACAGTTGTGCCTGGAGCAATCAGGGAAGACTTCTTAGAAGAGGAGGGTCTTGAGCATCTTCATATGAATCACCTGGGGTCCTTGTAGATTCCAGGTGCCCCAGGGGTCTCCTGAATTAGTATTTTATTCTCAGATAGTTTATGACCCACTGATCAGAAACGACAGGGTGTAGGGCCCTCCCTGGTGCAGCACTGGGTTAAAGCACAGCACTATGAAGCTCTCCACAGCCACTGCAGCATGAGTTCGATCCC